TTTATGACTGTGTGGTGTATTATTTCGAACGGTGTTTATCCAGTATTGAGTCATTACTATCAGGTCTAACCCGTTTCATTTATGATATCATTTTTACTCGTGGTATACCTATATCATTTGGCTATATTATATTACACCTAATAATGATATAGGCCTACCCGCATAATAAATGACCTCAAATGACGGTATGTTTTTTTTTCAATATTATTTGTCCACGTTGAACTATCGTGCTATACAAGGCAGGTGGATTGATATTCTGAGCCGATTCTATTTCTTGAAACATATTACCCTTTTACTGGAAAGACTGGGTTGCTGATCATTTCCTTTCCATAATACTTTGTTTCTGTGAAAACATTATTGGAGTCTGACAGTTCTAAACATGACTAAGATGGAGTTTTTATTTAATGGCTTCGCTTCGAAGAAGAAAACATCACAATTCTTTCTTGATGAATAATGTACACGTTAACCGTTGTGATATTCCAAAGTCCCCGGCATTCGTTATAGAGCTAATTGGTTTAGGTGAGGTTGGCAAAAGCGTAGGGAAATTAATTTTCTCAGAAACTGGCCTCTCTTGACATGTATAGAATCATTCCCTCGATACTTGGTTTGTGGCTTCTCTATAATTATGAGTATTGTCAAGATGCCCCTAGGAAAACGAAAGGAGTGCAAAAAGACAAGCTCATATAAATCGACACATGAATTTTCCACTTCACAGATGTTGTACTATACCATCTTTGTGTCTCCCTGCTTCATCCTTTGCAATCTTTATATGTTAATACTTGGCAATTTTGACAGTTTTTTTTATCCATTTGTATTTCATGTCATCACTGCAGTTTATAGAATACAGATCAAGGCAAAAGATAAGGGGAAGAGAGAAAGGGATAAAGAAAGTGGGACGAAATTAAAGATGAAGGGGGAGGGTCGGAAAAGTTGACATGAAGAGAGAGAAAGAGAGAGAGAGAGAGAGAGAGAGAGAGAGAGTAGAGATAAACTCGTGGAGATTGACAAGATGTATAACTCCATGATTCAACCTCCACTCTTATTTGTTGAGAACATTGGATGCAAGCACAACAATAGAGAATGGGAACAGGAGAGGCCGACCAATGCATTCCTGGGGTCAGTCAGTGGGTGGTAAAGGTCACTTAAGGTCACGACACAATGCAACTCGAGTCCCGCTCGAATTTAGCTGGTTGACCTTAGCGAGGTCACGAGTCGAAAGAAGGCAAAAAACCATGGGAAAATCCCGACCTCTTTGCATACATGAAAAATGCTACAATAGTCTGTATACTTCTCAATGCCATTTCTCGGGCGCGGGTGAGAGGGGTGATGATGCTGTGGATAACTCTATTGTACAATTAATATACATTTTTAAATATATGTAGAAAATAACCATAATAACATTTGTTATGGTTGCAAGTCTGCAAGAGCATGACATTGATTAGTGTATCAATTTCTTTTGAAATTATAGCCCTACCCATTATAGAATCAAAGCTATTGTAATTTAAGATTTGTTTGTACTGCGGTACGATGTATTTCATAATGATATCCGCATTTTTCAAAACTAAAATCAGTATAAATGCTAATCATCGTCATAAACTAGAATGGATGTGTTTTGCAAACATCTTACAAATTAATAAACAGTTCAAATATTTCCCTGATCATGTCAAAATGTTGAATAATAAGACTAAATTATTGTCGATATCGTTAATTATTCGAGGATTTTGTAAATGTTACGTTAAATCTCATCATAAAACGACGACAACTACATTTTGAAATTAAAAATGAATATCAAACTTACACAATACAATCCAACTCAAGCCAATGAATGGACACAATGACATAATTCTGAATAATTACAACGATAGGCATTGAACTTGGACATAGATCTGGCTGATTGTCTTATCTTAAAGACCGTCAATACTACTGGGTCAGAAGGGAATAGACCACACAGCGAGGTCACTGACAGGTGGCTATCTTATTAACACAGCTCTCAAATAACATAAGAAAAAGAGGATCATGGGGGACCAACAGGCACCGATTGGGGAAGTTTTCTATAATAGAGGGAGCAAGTAGCTACAAGTAGGACAGTGGGGCTTTAAATACTTATGATGAAGTCATATAAGATCGGAAGCATCATATCCGTTCAACATTATAGACAAATATTTTAAAAAGTGGCCTTGTTTACAGCTCCTCAACGACTCAAGGACATTTTTTCTTCTTCTTCTGGTGTTACGAAGAAAATGAAATGCAATGTCTCTAATCTGTAACAAAATAACATTTCACTCATTACAAACAAAAATGTTTTTAAAAACATCAATGCTTTTTAGCTTTGACGTGCCAAGAAGCCCATCAAGAGACTCCTGCAGTGTATTCCATCTTGCCCCCTCCTTCCCCCTCCCTCCCCCTCCCTCCCCCCCCCCCCTCTCTCTCTCTCTCTCTCTCTCTCTCTCCCCCCATTATTTTTGTTTCTCTAATTTCTTTTTGTGTGTGTCATTCAAAGGAAAAGGGGGATGGGGGAATGCAGCTACGGTTGGTTTACACCCCTGCCAATATAATATACAATAATCTTGTCACCATGACTACGGCGTTTATTAACCTCGTGTTATTGGGTATATCAAAATCATTCAAACCCAGTATTGATATGAATGACAAGGCTTATACACGATAATTGCAATTCCTCTAGAGGGTCATTATCGAGCCAGGTAACGGTGTTTCTCCATGGTAACGATTGCACACTGACGTCATACAGCGCATAAAACTTACATTCTATGAATCCGAGCCGTGTACTCGACAATGCATCCGTGATTCCCGAGATATAGATCGAGTTTAAAAAGAAAAGAAAGGAAAAATAATCATGAATCTGATATGATTGACGTCAGCGGAATAATTAACGGTGGTACAGAGAAGTTTCGAACCTCGGGACCTCCCGATTACTAGCCCAATGTTCTACCACTGAGCCATTGAGCCTCTATGTAAAAGCACATGTCATGAGTTAAAGCCCCACAGCACTACCCATAACTTCTTGCGCCCTCTATATAACAAAATGCCTAATCGGTGACCATTGGTCCTCCATGATCCTCTTTTTCTTATGTTAATTGAGAGCTTATTTTGATGAGATAACCACCTGTCCAGTGACCTCGCAGGGTGGTCTAATCCCTCATGTACACTAGTACAGATAGGCTTAATTCCTTCTGGTACTCACCAGACAATTTGCGACAATCATTGTGTTTATTAACCAATAATCATAATGATGTATCAAAATCCATATATTATACTCCACCTGTTACATCGCCCAGACACCTGTTCTTCTGTATCTGTGACTGTGAATGATTCGTTTTGCCATTCCACCGGTAGTGAATGGATATGAGTGTACCGAATCAGGAAAGTGAGTCGTCCTTTCGTCATAATATAATCATGATAATAAACGGTGCTGAAACCCCATACCCTGGAAACTCTTCGTCATCATGTAAAACATCTCAAAAATAAAATAAAAAGAGTTTGATATTTTTGACCAGATGAGTATAATCATTTGAGTTGACTCATATTATAACCCCCTATCCTGATGTAACACCCCACATGGGTTCCTGTCTGATGGGCTGACTAATACTGACACATCAAGGTGAAAGGGGTTCCCTAAAAACAAGTATTTTACCCCTTTTCATTTTCAGGCTTGCGACAGCTAGCAATCTTCCCTTTCTTTCAAAACATCTCCGCAAATAAGTGTTCAACGAATAATGACAACTTATCGTTGTTATACCAGGGACAAAACTCACATATCCCTGGTTATACATCGATATGAATCTGCAAGGTGTGTGATATCAAAGTGTCATTATCTCGGAAAAAACGTATTGTGACGACTTTTGCTGCAAAACGTTTCCTGGTTGTTGTTTTTATAATCAAGCCCCCCCCCCCCTCTTACACCCCTCTTAGTTCAAATGCGACATGATTGTTCATGGAAATCAAATAAAAACTCCTTCAGTGAGTGCAAAATAAGTTACGACAAAAAAGTGATGCGATGTATTTCGTATATCAGTTTTAGTTTAGGTTGCATCAGTTTTTTCGTTTAACATCAGAGTATTAATTACGAGCGTCATGTTTTTTAATGAGTTTCGGTCTGTCATGAACCATGGACGTCGTTTCAAAAGGGGGAGAGGTTGGGATTGGGGGGCTGTTGTACGATATCAAGGCCCTTAATGTTGTATTGCCCTTTACTTAGGTGCCAAAACATGGGTCGGTCGGTCGGTGTTTTTTTTCTCCCTCTTTGGGCTGAAATTTCTCAGTTTTGAATGCTTTAATACATATTCATTTATTCGTAAAACATTTATTTTTATTTTTTAAAGGTGACTGTAGATTTCAAGGTTTTGGGGCCGGTCGCAAAGGGCATTGCAACATTCTTTTTGATGATGACATTCACTATGAGTATTAATACGCCGAATGCCTTCGATTAATGCGTTTACACCGCCCCCTCACATTCCCACAACCCCTGAGTAAGAAATGTTCGCCATCAATTTCGTTTTGTTTTGTTTTGATTTCGTTTGAAGTCCTAGGCAATTATACCATCAATATGGTTGTAAGATAATAAGTGATCATAATGACACCGAAACTAGTTTATGTAGTGCCTGGGAATCCCCGGTTGTATATCATAACGGGGAAAGCTCTCTCTCTCTCTTTCTTCTCTCTCTCGCTTTCGCTCTCTCTCTCTCTCTCCCTCCCTCTCTCTCTCTCTCTCTCTCTCTCTCTCTCTCTCTCTCTCTCTCTCTCTCTCTCTCACTCACCCACTCCTTTTTTTCTTTCTTCAACGATTAACGATATTCTGCTACGTCACAAGTGAAAACCCTCTATACTCCAAGCATATCTTGCCGGAAATTTACACAGTCGTAAATCGCTGTTTTTAGAAGTGACGGTAGTGAAGAAAAAAATGGCATTCACTTTGCGTTACGATTTTCCTCACTACCGTCAATTCGTGAAAATAGGGATCCCTTCATTCAATTCACGATTTAGTATATTGCACATGGCGGGAAATATCATTCTAGAAGGTTTTACTGCTAACCAACACCGAGACTTCTTCAAGTCAGAAATGTGACTTTAAGCTTGTCTCACCAAACCATTAACACTGGATTAAAAGAGCTTACTAAGCGGTAGACAAGCCGAGAGGAGGCGGAGTATATATCGTGTACGTCTCTATTCATATTTCATATTTATAATACAAATCTGAGAGATTGCTTGCTCTACTTTCTCTCTCCTCGATTTCATCCCTTTTTCTCTTCTCCCATAAGAACCTCATTTCCGTTCGCTTTCTATTTCTTCGAGGGCACTTAGAAATGAAAGCGAGAGAAACGTATACCTCCCCGGAAGTCTGTAGATGATTGCAATTTCATAATTGTTTTCGAGCTTGTGAAACTGAAGGATGTCCCAACTTCCTGCTAAACTCCCCTACGGCCTATTTTTATATCATTTCCAATATTTTTGTTGTCTTTTGTTTCTTTACCGTACATGAACTTCCTCCAAGTTTGCAGATCAAGAAATAAGACAAGAAAATAAGGATACAACAAAAAATGTATATTAAAGCAGCTGTTTCTTTTTATTGATAAATCAAATACAAAACATTCAAATAACAATAATAGTATATATTATCAAAATTGATTTACATAGAGAGTGACAACTGAAATACAAACACATAAAATGCATATATATATATTTATAGTTGAAAATTTGAAAGTATGGAGGTAGGTCAAAGAATCAAGATAAACAGCAGATGCCAACTATCAGCATGAATGCTTGAGTCGATAGCAGCCGGGAAGGGGGTGGGGTACATGACGCTGTTATAGAAGTATGTAGGATAATATAGAGTGTCACGTACAAACAAAAATATAAGATTTGATAATTATTGCGAAACATATTTTTGGCAGAATAAAGGCTTTCAAATTGATCCATGGTCACTCCTGTTTAATCAATGTTTGAAAAACAATTTTGTATGAAGGAAATATGACAGATACATTAAGAGAAGTCTTTGTTGATTCTGTCAGGACATGGCATTTGGATACAGAAGTGGGAAGTTGAGTTCACGACGAAGGAATCTCCGTCATGATGACGTCACAGTATCGTTTGAAGAATCGTCTCGGCAACATCCGTGGGTACCTCAACGAGCCCCCTTCGACACTTATCCTGCTCAAAATTGAGAAGGCTCTGCGCAATAGGAATCCGGATAGCAGAGAAGAACAACACACTTGCATTTAACATTTCAAGAAATTGACATTGAAACTTGATGTTTCATAGTTTGAGGCATTTTAGGTGAATGTGTCGCTCAATTGCCCACTTAGAGTTATGCAGTGGTATGAGAGTGTTTTTAAAAAAATCTTTATTATTATTACTATCATTATTATTATTATAACTATCATTATTATTATTATTATTATTACTATCATCAGCATTATTATTGTTATTATTATTGTTATTATTATCATTATCATCACATATATTATTATTTTGTTGTACTGTCGATATGTCATGCCATGTTATTAGCATTTGAGAATATATATAAAAAATAAGTTTATATTGTATTCAATTACTGTATTCTATATACATAGTTACATACAGTTCACCATCTCCACTCCACATCTCCAGTCAATAAAAATATTAAATGTTTAAGCCTTGTACCACGCTATCGCGACACCTCTTTAATAATTATGCTAATGATAATGTACTCTATTATTGAAATTGGATCGACATGCTTCAACCACAGAAGGCTTCAAGCGCGGCAATACCTCAGGGGGAAAAAGGCCTCTAATTAGTCCAACTTTCTAATGATAAATGACTATATAGCATGGTTGTATTGACTAATGAGGGGTTGCCACAGCGACACCCGATTTAATTAGAATCATTCTCGATTAACAATATCAGCAGGGGTTATGATTAAGCTGTTGATGTTAGCGTACAAAGATAGGATAGATATGGTAATTACATCGGTATGATAATGGCAATATCCGTCGTTTGTGTATATAATAAGCAACAAACAAATTAAATGCAATTTGCAGCGCATTATTTTTTTAACCAAATTACGCTACATTGAGCTTATCAATAATATTTTACCAGGTGTTTACATGCCGACAATATTGCATTATCACCTCGTAAATAATACCAATTTGACATTGACTGATAACGGATCCATTAAAAAATACACCACATTATGCTAATGTACCGGATGTTTACATCGCGACAAGTGCGCATGCCCTTATCTCGACCAGAATATCAATTTGACATTGATTGATAACTTTTTCATGTCACACAATGAGTAATTACTGAATGTGAAATGTTAAACGGCTGGACAGTCGAGATCGAGAGAGGTAGGTTGCTTTTTAGCTTCCTGGTAACAGTCAGCGGTCTTCTCTGAGTCTTGTGAATAGAATTGCTAATTGCAATGTCGGTTATGAACGGGCCTGGATGTAAAGTTTAACGTTCATTCTCACATCGATCATTACGAAGACTATACCTCAATTAGTATTCTCATCACTATCACACGCTGACGTAACAAAGGCATAAATTAAGGTTGGATAGAGAGGAGATAGCGTGGTATATGCATTGCCAGGGCTCAATTAGGTTTCATTACTGCTATTGAATAGGCCGATGGCGTGATCAGAGGGTCTATTGTAAACATGAAATTGACAGAGGCTTATGGAAATATTGATCTCGATTGCATTTATATCTCGAGTATTATAAGGAGGCGATGTATTATGTGCATTATCATGGTGAAAGGTTATTGTTATCTTCCAAAGTGTGTTAACGAGACTCAATGGTGGTAGAGATGAAACGTGCGTTTCGAAGGCTGTGGAAGGAGAGAGGGAGGGAAGATGAGAGGGGAGGGGAGAGAAAGAGGAGAGAGTGAGATAAGGGAAGAGAGAGAGATATATATATATATATATATATATATATAGGAGAGGGTAGAATATAGATAGATAAAGAGAGAGAGAGAGAGAGAGAGAGAGAGGGGGGCGGAGAGAGAGAGAGAGAGAGAGTGAGAGAGAAGGAGAGGGATAGAGGGGGAGGAGAGAGTCAGAGCATGTAGGTCCATGGTCAGAGACAGTAACAACATCGAGTGAGAATGATGATAATACTCTGTGAATCCATGTATATTGCCTTGCCACCCTTATCCCACTGAGCTATACAATGTTCATTGCAACAACAGCACACAGGAGGGAGATAAAAGTAATGTTCTCCCCTATACACTAAAAGGTCCCATCTGTCTCCCGTTTCTATGAATTAACCGAACCTTCTAAATGTCGATTGTCCGTCTGTCCTTCTCATGTTTATTGTCTGTCCGTCCTTCTCAATACCCTTGCATGAATGAACCAGCATGTTAGTGACCCGCAGTCCTTCGCATAATAGCCATGATAACCAAGGAGAGGGGGTATGGATTACTGGAAATTCTGAGTCACGTATATCTCCGGGTTCGTGTCATCGGTAGAAAACCATTGATTCGAGGAATTAAAAAAAGAAGGGGAGATTTATGATTAATTTGGCATGAGTCCTAAAAGAAAGAAAAAAAAAAATCATTTTGTTAAATTAAGATTAAGGAAAGGGTGATGACGCAATAAGGATGTTAACCCGGACCTGCTTATCTTTAACTAATTAATTTAGATACGCAAAGATGTAGTAAACAGCAAAGGGCATGTATTTTGTAGAATAAACCACCTTAAGCAAAGACTAAGGGGCATGTATTTCCTGGTGTACATCAAAGCGTTACATGTCTTGGTAAACTCAATTTTGTGTAGAGGGTAATATAGTTATTACATTCTTGTTAACTACAATTCTATTTCCCGAAAATGAGACAATTTTTTTAATCCGGAAAAACAGTCTATATAAAATATGAATCATTAATTACAGTCATGCAGAAAAAATATCACTTTCCGTTTCAACATTTAGACCCGTGACAACTTGAGCGGCGTTTGAGAGACTGAGCAGAGCGTGAGTCACTGGATATTGGATATAGAAATCCATATCACGGTAATTGAAATTATGATAATCACTGGTCATGCAAGGTTTATGGACTGGACAGAGACATGACGTCACGACGGATGCCGCCATATCACAGGCGTTCGCGCGCTGGTGTGGGTGATGCCCATGAGTCATCTAACGGGGATCCATTTCGTACACGTTGCGATACACACATTTTTTGGCGGGATTTAAACTCTGATTGATATTCTGCTCCCCATTTGCTCGGGGTCGCTTTATTTGCTGACCGACACCGTTTTTTGACACTGCTCCGTATAGTATGACAGAAGTCGAAAGGGGTACTCGTAATGCGGACATCCTTTATACTGAGTCATTCAAGGAAACCGTGGGTTCAGATCAAAACGAGAATATCGCATCGAGTTGGTATACAATCATGTTACAGCCTACACTGTAGCTATAGAGGGATGTAACATTAATATTGAAGGCCGGTCGTAAATACATCCTGCTGGGGATTGTGATTGTATCCGTAATCATTTAAAATGACGGTTATATTGATTTATTTATTTTGCCCATCATCATGGTGTATCAATCAATGACAATAACATGTTAAACGATTGTTATTGCACATGACTGTGCCCATGCATGCATCGTCATACTTTGTTTTATTCCAAGTTCAACGTTTATTGGCCGTATCAGACAATATTGCAAACACATACTTTTATCAGAATGATCATTTCCTGTCCATTAAAAGAGACAGTGTTTTCAGTGATAATCATGCAATATGAAACGTCAAAAATTATAATGAACACGTTTGATATACGGGGGGAAAAAGAAAAGAAAAAGAAGATTGTTAATGGTTCTGTTTACTACCCACATACTTTGTTTTTTTAATTCAAGAATGTATTAGCAAAGAAAATAATACCAAGCTGGAAGAATTGTTGAATATACTTTGAATTTAAGCCTATGATATATTTCACTCAATCATTGAGTTATTAATGTAAATATGTATTGACATTATTGAAATAAAAACCTCGCTTGAGGATAAGAGAAAAAAAAATATACGGAAAAAAAATCAATGTCTGTGAAACAAAGGCAAAAGTGTGTTAATGTTAATAATGGTCAGTCTGTACATGTATTATAATTACGCGGACATGACGGTGTACAATATAGTAATAGACAGATAATGGGGATTCAGATCTAGCCAATCGATGGGGGAAGTAGCGGTTGAGTGACGTCACCTTGAATGGATGCTTCTATATCATCATCATCACGCGTTGAGGAGGGGGCAATACCCGATGACTCATCGGTGGAAGACCACATTCATCGTGATCTCTTTATATACCAACATTGTTTCTCGATAACCACATCGTCGGATCCAAGTCATGAACACATATTGGGCGTTATCATTTCATCATGTATGTATTTAATCACGTGGGAAAACGTCATCGTACGTGCGTCGTGGCGATTACACACTCGCCAATGACAAATTACTGATACGAATCGATATGATATGTATGATTATATAATTATTTCACAACTCTGACGGATAATTTCATTACATGGTTACTTGGTTTAATATATGATTATGTCATTGACAACACCCAAAAAAGATGTAATTAACAAAGGGGTGCGTGTCGTGATATTTTCAGGGATATCGCGTTATACAAATAATCAGACGTCAGACATATTAATAATCATTTTTGATTGATACACGTTTGTAAAAACCCAAGTACACACACGTTAATTAGGATGAAATTAAATATTACAAAATAAACTTATGGGAGGGCGTAACCATTATTATTATACATAAAGGTGGCTAGATTAGAATACATCCCTATGACCCGTTCATGGTGTAAAATCATGGCTACACAATGCTTTATTTCAGTAAAAAAAAAAATCAACATAAACTCTGTAAAGAGTCTCTTTGTGAGTTATATTTATGGTCAACAAGGAGGAAAATAAACAACTTGCACAAGTAAAAATAGAACCATGTTTCATGTTTTTTCAAGATATAGCGTCATATAACCAGTTAGGATAAAACTGTATTCGGTTATTACATAATATTACATAATAGAACATCACACACTCGTCGGAATGTATTCTAAAAAGTACAAAAAGACCTAGTCTATGAAGAGTCTCTTTCTAATAATTCAACAAGGAGGAAAATATACAGCTTGCCC